GGGCTATGTGCAACGTGACATGATGGATGATGCTATGGACATGTTTGAGAGAATGCCTGCTCGGGATGTTGTGGCTTGGACTACATTGATCTCGGGGTATGCAAAGAGGGAAGATGGGTGTGAGAGGGCTTTGGATTTGTTTGGGAGTATGAGGAGGAGTTATGTGTTGCCTAATGAGTTCACTTTGGATTGTGTTGTGAGGGTTTGTGCTAGAATTGGGGTTCTACTTGCAGGGAAGGTTGTTCACGGGCTTTGCATTAAGAGTGGGTTTGATTTTGATAACTCCATTGGAGGTGCGCTTACCGAGTTTTATTGTGGTTGTGAAGCCATAGATGACGCCAAGAGAGTTTATGAGAGCATGGGGGGAGAAGCTTGTTTGAATGTTGCTAACTCACTGATTGGGGGCCTTGTCTCGAAAGGAAGGATTGAAGAAGCCGAGCTTGTCTTTTATGAATTGCGAGAGACAAATCCCGTTTCATATAATTTGATGATTAAAGGTTATGCCATGAGTGGTCAGTTCGAAAAATCGAAAAGGTTGTTTGAGAAAATGAGACCCAAAAATTTAACTTCCTTAAATACTATGATCTCTGTGTATTCAAAAAATGGTGAACTTGATGAAGCTGTGAAGCTTTTTGACAAAATTAAAGGTGAAAGAAACTATGTCACGTGGAACTCAATGATGTCGGGTTATATTATTAATGGTCATCACAAGGAGGCATTGAATTTATATGTGGCCATGCGCAGATTATCAGTTGACTATAGCAGGTCAACGTTCTCTGTCCTATTTCGTGCTTGCTCTTCTCTATGTTCTTTTCGACAAGGACAATTACTTCATGCTCACTTAGTAAAAACACCATTCCAGGTAAATGTTTATGTTGGGACTGCACTTGTAGACTTCTATTCCAAATGTGGTCACTTGGCTGATGCCCAAAGGTCATTCAGCAGTATTTTTACACCCAATGTAGCAGCATGGACAGCTCTAATAAATGGGCATGCATATCATGGACTCGGATCAGAAGCAATTTTACTCTTTCGCTCAATGTTACTTCAAGGAGTTGTTCCGAATGCAGCTACTTTTGTTGGTGTTCTCTCTGCGTGTAGCCATGCCGGTCTAGTTAGTGAAGGTTTGAGAATTTTCCACTCAATGCAAAGATGCTATGGGGTAACTCCAACAATAGAACATTACACATGTGTGGTGGATCTTCTTGGTCGGTCAGGCCATGTGAAAGAAGCTGAAGAGTTTATCATAAAAATGCCTATTGAAGCAGATGGGATAATTTGGGGAGCTTTGCTTAATGCTTCTTGGTTTTGGAAGGAAATGAAAGTGGGGGAGAGAGCCGCAGATAAGTTGTTCAGTTTGGATCCCAACCCAACTTTTGCTTTTGTTGTTCTCTCTAACATTTATGCCATACTAGGTAGATGGGGGCAGAAGACAAGACTCAGGAAGAAATTGCAGAGTTTAGAATTAAGAAAAGATCCAGGGTGCAGCTGGATAGAATTGAACAACGATATTCATCTGTTTTCTGTAGAAGATAAAACCCATCCTTATTCTGATGTTATTTATACAACTGTAGAGCATATAACAGCTACCATTAACTCTATTATACCCCTCAATTATCTCTATAGCAGCAATGGTGGGTAACATTTCTGAAGCAACCTACTCTTTACAATCTTATTTTTTTTAAGATGTGGCCATTGCTTAAATATTTCGGGGCAAACACCAACTCTCCCAAAAAGCTTAAGTTGTTAACCCAATATTGGTTTTATATCTATAACATGTTCTTCACAGTTCCCACAATAGTCTGTCGAATTTGAAGCTGGACAATGCAAAGGTTCATTTTCTCTTGTGCTGGAATTTAACTTTATTTGCAAAAATGAAGGTTGCAATGATTGAACTTCTAACTACTTATACTTGGTTATGAATATTTTGATACCATTAGTGGCCAACTATCTGAATTGTTTTGGAATATTTGATTAGAATTGTTCCGGTCAAAGGATAACGGTCAGAAAAACCCTAGTGATATGAGTTCTAAGAGAATCTAGCCGTCGTCCTAACCTAGAACATTTGATGAGTGTAACATACTATTAGTAAAACCATTCTTCCTTTATATATATGGGTGTCATATTTAAGGATACAAATCTTTTTCTCCAATCCCAATCCCTTGAAATAAGCCTTCATTTTATTTATCATAATGAGCCTATAAATCACATTTATAACCGTAATCAAATATGTGCGAGAATCATGGAAATTACTGCCTTAATCAATCTTAGAAAATTCGTGAGTGATCTTGAATTCGACCTGCTCGGTCGGATGGGGAGTTGGAAGATACATGACCCTCCATGCTTAATTGTTAAAAGTGCAAAGAGTCTTTACTCGGTTAATTCGGTCAATTGGGGATTTGGAGGGTACACAGCCCTCTAGGCTCGAGCGTCAAGGCCCAAAGAGTCTCGAGTTGGCCAGTTTAATCGGTTGGAGAGTCAGACGGTACACAGCCTCCAGGCTCGAGCACTAAAGTGCAAAGAGTCTCACTTGTTATACCAAATTCATGTTTTTACATTGTCGAATTAGTAATTGCTCACAAGATAATCGTTTTTATTGAACAACTAATTATCGAGTGTATGCTGGTGAAGTCGTTAAATCGGAATTTAGTCGACCTTAAAACGCGTTTTCGGCGCTAAGGGTGTATGCTGGTGAAGTCGTTAAATCGGAATTTAGTCGACCTTAAAACGCGTTTTCGGCGCTAAGGGTGTATGCTGGTGAAGTCGTTAAATCGGAATTTAGTCGACCTTAAAACGCGTTTTCGGCGCTAAGAGTTGTTAATCGTTTATCATTCAGTTGATTCAATTTTTGAAACAATAGCAATTTATACATATAACATAATATAATATAAAAGAATTCACGGTGCAAATTGAAGAAAGAAAAAAAAAAAAGAGAAAGGGAAGAAGTAATTGAGAACACGACACAAGAGGGGGAGAGAAGAGAATCGGGATAAAAATAAATCAAAAGGAATAAACTCCCAAAACCATCCCTACCCCTAAACAAAAAACAAATAAATTTTATTAACAATTTTTGGACCCATCATGCTGGCGGACCTGACATGGTAAGGGTCCATTAACAACAAAACAACTACCTTATGCGTATGTACATGACTCACCTTTCTCACAACCAATCACAATTCTCAAGTAACTACATATAATATAATCTCTTAAAAGACTTTACCAACCATCATTACAAAATGAATCTTGCGTTAATTACTATGTTTCAAGAGGACACCATGAACATTGACTAGAGAAAAGCCATGATCATCACCGACATCATCCAAACTTTGCAAAATTCTTGATCGATTTAAACAATTATTTGTTTGATTCAACAACATTGACAAAACCTGCAATTAAGCATCCCTAATAAACAGATCAAGGTTCAATCCATGATACAAGAACTGAAACATTGATTTTAATTGAACATTTTTACGTGACAACGATAAAAGGAATGAGAATTGGATACTTAGCTGTTTTTATTTCAAGTTTGATAACCACATAAATCTCTTAGGTGTCCAACGTCTAATGGCAGAATTGTCCAAAGTTGGGTTGGGATCCAAACTGAGGTTTAGGAGAGTGTATTGGATCAAAATTTTATGTGATTGTTTTTACATGAAAAAATCTTGTGAATTTTAAAAAACTTTATAAAAATGTAATGACTTTTAAGATTTTTTAAAATGATTTTGTAAGAATTTAATGACTTATAAGATATTTTTTTTATAAAAAAATTATAATAAAGATTTTGTAATATGAATTTATATTATAAGAATTTATAAGATTTGAAAGGATTTTATGAGATGTTAAATGACAATATAAATTTTTAAAAAATAATATAATTAATAAAAAATAACATAAATGATAAGATTTAAATAAATAAAAATTTATTATTTAATATTTCCTTAATTTCATGAATAAATATAACAATGTTCACTAATTTTAAAAGGGAAAAGTAATTGTTTACCGGCATGTTATTACTGCCTTAGCAAAACTCTAAGAATTTAAAAGTACAAAGCATATGTCATAGAACTTAACAAAGTTAGGATTAGGAAATATTTTTATTATTTTAATTGCAGAAATATTATATCGTTTTTATTTTGTTTTTGATTTTGCAATTTTATATAAGAAATAGTGATCGTTGTTTCTTATGTAAACTCTTAAAAATAATAAAAAAAATAGTGAAAACAAGACAACATTTTTGTAATTAAAAATAAAAACAAAATAGAAATAGAAATATTGTTTCAAATTAAACGTCCTTAACCTTATTCCGGTGCTATTTTATGTACATGCAGCAGCCAATTTGGCATTACTTGCAAATTTGAAATGCTTGATCTTTTCTTTGTGCTACGTGACGCTTTATATAGACATTATGTCCATATTGCCCAAACACACAATTATATTAAAATGACTTTGCTGACAAAAACTAGAAGATACATCAGATAATGTAAAAAAAAACAACCAAATGAGTAGGATTGGGGGATGACTCGGATTCAGACTGCCATATTCTCGTTCCTAATCTCTCACAAGAACTCGTCCGGGTTCATGGCAAAGTGTTACTAAAACTTTTTGTACATCAGATTAGGAATTAGTGATTTCACATTTCTAAAATCTTACCCTCTTTTCCTCTAAGCCAATAATGATTTCCAACTCTATTGTTTTCGGGGGGGAAGAATCTACACAGCATATTACTTTCATTCGCGTTTAAGGTCATATCACAACAATTAAGAAATACAAATAATGTTTTCATTTTCATTAAAATTGCCACATAATTGAAAATCGGTTCAATTTTTTGAAGTAAATCTTCGAATTCAACTCGACAAAGTTTGTGGATGACCAATGAGATCATTACCAAGATAAAAAAAATCACTTTGAAAAGGAAAATCGTGTTAAGTCGTATTTTTTTTTTCTCTCTTTTTGAGGTAAGACGGTGAAATTGAAACAAGTAAACCAACAAAAACAAATAACCACTCCATATATCTTATCAGCAAAGTACTCAATCATCAATATCATCAGCACTAGCAACAACATGGGAGAGGTAGACCCAGCTTTCGTCCAAGACCCACAACACAGGCCAAATCTCTCCATTATCCAGGCCGAAGGAATACCCATAATTGATCTCTCTCCAATAACCAACCACACACTTTCAGATTCATCTTCCATTGAAGGGTTGGTTAAGGAGATAGGGAGTGCATGCAAGGAGTGGGGCTTCTTCCAAGTAACCAACCATGGGGTGCCCCTCTCTCTAAGGCAAAGGATTGAGGAAGCTTCTAGATTGTTCTTTGCGCAGAGTCTGGAGGAGAAGAGGAAGTACAGAAGAGATGAGATATCTCCAACTGGTTACTATGACACAGAACACACCAAAAACGTTAGGGACTGGAAAGAAGTCTTTGATTTTCAAGCCAGAGACCCCACTTTCATTCCTCTCACTTCTGATGAACATGATGATCGACTCAATCACTGGAATAATCCATCCCCTCAATACCCTCCACACTTCAGGTAATTCATCTTAACTTTCTACTAATTCTGGTGAAAAACACAAGTGCTCTTTTCTTTTTTTGATTTTTAAGAAAACTACATATGGAGTGGAAAATCATAGTTAATGGGTTGTGTTGTGTAAAAAACGGTGTGATGCAGGGATATAATAGAAGAGTATATTCAAGAGATGGAAAAGCTGTGCTTTAAGCTGTTGGAGCTTATAGCTTTGAGCTTAGGCCTTGAGGCAAAGAGGTTTGAAGAGTTTTTCATAAAGGATCAAACTAGCAATATTCGACTGAACCACTATCCTCCATGTCCTTACCCTCACCTAGCTCTTGGTGTTGGTCGACACAAGGATGGCGGGGCCTTAACCATTCTTGCCCAAGACGAGGTTGGAGGACTTGAAGTCAAACGCAAAGCAGATCAACAATGGGTTCGAGTGAAACCTACACCAGATACTTACATAATCAATGTTGGGGATGTTATTCAGGTACTGATAACTACAAAGATGTTAAAATTTTACTGACTTAAAAATATTAGGTATGTGGAATAGTTTATAAAATATTTATAATTATTGAAGTACTTTTGAGAGATTCTTTATTAAAAAATATTCTTTATTTTGACAGAGAAACTTTCAAATCCGCTTCAAGCTTATATATAAACAAACTTTTAATCATCCCTTGATTAGGTGATACTTATTGGAGTTGTTTATGCAGGTTTGGAGCAATGATGCCTATGAGAGCGTGGAACACAGAGCGATGGTTAACTCTGAGAAAGAAAGGTTTTCCATACCGTTTTTCTTCAACCCTGCACACTACACAGAAGTGAAGCCTTTGGAGGAGTTGACGAATGAGAAAAATCCTCCAAAATATAGGCCATACAAATGGGGCAAGTTTCTTGTCCGCAGAAAGGGCGGCAATTTCAAGAAACAGAATGTGGAGAACCTTCAGATTTATCACTTTAAGATAGCTTGAATGATACTCCACATTCTGATAATTTATTAACTTATGCATGTAAAACAGACTGATCTAAGAATGTTTCTGATATGAGTCTGTAATCTTATTTGCTGCTATATATTATTAGTGTGCAGTATGTATGCCACCAACATCGAATAAAAGAAGAAAAAAAGCAGTACTGTTTGTCATGCTGGTCTATGAAGGGGTTATTTTTAAGGGGTTATTTTTATGGTATTTGTCTGAGAGGATATTTTATGAGTTATTTTTATAAGGTTATTACACAAACATACTCCACAATGATGAGATATTGTCCGCTTTAGGCCTTAGCCCTCACGGTTTTGCTTTTGGTCATCACCCAAAAGGCTTCTCAAGATGGGGTTATTTTTATGGTATTTGTCTGAGAGGATATTTTATGAATGTTATTTTTATAATTTTATTACAAACATACTCCACAATGATGAGATATTGTCCGCTTTGGGCCTTAGCCCTCACAGTTTTGCTTTTGGTCATCACCCAAAAGGCCTCTTAATCATTGAAGTATGTTTGTATTATATAAGTTGTTATTTTTTATCATATTTTATCGATGTGGGACTTGTTTGTATCCCAATAGTCTAAAAGATTGAAGAGTGTATATGAACAATTTAGTACATGAAATTGTGTTTTGCTATCAAGTTAGGCCTTAAATTTAATAAAATTAAAAATCCTTCAAACGGTAATTCTGTTGATTCATGTTTTTAAATTTAACCATTTATTGTTATTTTGCATCTTTGAACACATGTTTTTATTATCACTTTAAGTCTTACGTCATGTAAGTTTTAGTTTGAGTGAAATATGATGATTTCAAAAAATGTTATTAATGAAAAATGAATATAAGAAGTCTTTAATTGAAAGTCTTTGGTTGTCAATTATGTTTAAGATTTAAGATTTAAATTTATAGATGTTTGGTGGTTTTCTATTTGTAAAAAGGTCTTCGATATTTAAGTTAATAAGTATTTAGAGATTAAATGTATTGTATATTATTCTTACTGAAGATCCGTCGTAAGGACAATCTGCTGGGTAAGATCGGTGAGCCTCTTTCACTGGTACGTTTGATGCTCCAAGATGGGGGTGGTACTTGCAAAAGAGACTCTGATGCTAAAATTAGTGTTTGTGGATGTACGAGTCTCGTATAAGTAATGCATGTACCTTAGGGTGAATTAGGGTTTTCATGGACCTTGGGCCCGAGATCAGTTATGACCTATTTGGATGCTGAGCTGACATCGCCTAGCGCGTGTCCGAGGTCACTTTGCGCTGAGATGCCGAGTTTGAGCTCGGCATGGCGGTATGAATAGTACACTAGCCCCCTGAGCTTCGAAGACCGTGGGTCGAAGAGTTAAGACCGAGCTCGTCGAGGAGCAGTGACCCTTCGCGTATGCCTGCCTGTTAAGACGTTATGTGTCATAATTGTCGCTTCGTTCTTGAAAACGTGTAGGCGGCGTGTTAATGAAGAGTGACGGTTATGTAATGATGGCCGTGCTTTCCATAATGGGGCTCATTAAATGTGTCGCCAGTTTTGCCCCCTGGCTGACACATGTTGTGGCTGTTTGAATTTTTGGGGGAAACCTTTTCTTTCTCTCTCTCGCGCCCCTTCCCATTCCCTTTACTCTTTTCACTTTTTCTTCCTCCCTGACTTCTTGCGCACGTTGCTCCCTGCGCCTTTGTTTCTGCCATTCCCGTTCTCGTTTTCTTTGCCTCCGTTCTTCTCCGTCGCCTTCTCCGGCAACCGGACTTTCATTCCCCGATTTTTGTTCTTTCTTTGTCCAAGGAGTACCAGGTACTTCTATTTCTTTAACTTCTCCTTCTTCTAAAATCTCTTCCATTTTTTGATGGCTAGTAACAGCGGTGCCGCTTCTTCTGCGCTTGCCAAGGGCAAGGGTAAGGCGCGCGGCAAGACGGTGGCTACCAACGCGGTTGCCGTCGAAAAGAAAAAGGCGGAGAACCAGCCTAAAGAGCCCATCCCCGACATTCCTGGCTACGACTGGGTCAGGAGTGACGTGGGTGAGTTGCAGAGTGTGTTTAGGTCGTTCCTGGAGATCAATGCGATGCGAAAATCGCATAGGATCTATGATTCGTCCGTCTCCAAGTTCATCCAGCTCGAGCCTTGTCGGCCAGATGAGCGCGTCTATATGGGGGGTCCTTTTGATCCTCCTTTCTTTTATGTGTACCAGTGTCTTTTTAGGGATTTAGGCATGTGTCTTCCCTTTTCACAGTTTGAGTGCGATTTTTTGAATTTTATCAACTCGGCCCCTTGCCAGTTGCACCCCAACAGCTGGGGTTTTTTGCGGGCTTTTCAAGTCCTGTGCTCGGCCTTGGGGATAGAGGTGTCCTTGCCCATTTTTCTCCATTTTTACCAGTTAAAGATGGGTGTTCCCCCCTATGGCCTGATGTCCCTAAGTGGGAGCAAGTCTGGGGGTCTATTTTCCCTTTAGTCCCAGTCGTATAAAAACTTTAAACAAGAGTTCTTCCGGGTGGCGCTTGTGGATGTCAACCCGTTGGAGGATGGGGTGTTCTACTTCGGCGGGTTGCCGAAATTCCCCTTCTATTGGCAGCCGACCTCGGCTAGGTTTCACGGGGTGGGGGAGTTGCAATTGTCAGCCTCGGAAACCGCCGCCATTGCAAACCTTGAAGCACTCCTTCGTCCGTTGGATTGCAAGCTCGTCCTGTCGCTTGCCAACTCGGCGTACAAGGAGAGGGGTTTAGAGAGTGAGTACCTCGTCTTTTTTTTTTATTGTTAGGGTTTGTAAAAGTTTCTTCTTGCTGATGTGTTTGATCCTTGTATTTGCAGGCATAATGGGCAGGAAAAAGTGGCGTGAGTTGAAGCACCGCTACAACGTCGCCGGGATTGAGGTCCTAGAGCCTCAAGAGGAGGACGTGGCCCCCCTGAAGACGCACAGGAAAAGAAAGAGGGGAGGTAAGGAGGTCGGGGGGACCTCTGCCCCTCGAGATGCTGAGGAGGTGACTTCCAAGGCCGCTGATGCCGATGCGGTCGACCTTACTGGGAGTTCTCTGCCTGAAGGAGCTCCCCAAATGGTGGTTGAGGAAGGAGCTCAGGTTGCTGAGCAGGCTGCCCAGGCCACCGAGGTGAGTGCCTTGCTTTTTGTCTTTTCTTTTATCCTCTATTTTTCTTGTCCTTTGTCTTAGGAAGAAAGTCTTGTCTTTTGCAGGCAGGGAATGTTGCTCAGGTCCCGGTGCCTCCGCGTTCGGAGGCGCCAGGGGTGGACCCCCCCATTGCCGAGCAGGAGGCGCCTGCCTCTGCTTCTGCCGAGGCCCGTGGCAAGGGGCCCAGCTCCGAGGTCCCAACTTCTACACCAGCGACTTTGGCACCGCCGTCCGGCCAGTCGAAGGGGGCCCCCAGAACCCAATATCTCGCCCAGCGCTTTGTAAAGGGTTCCTCCCAGGTGCGGTTGGACCATGTGAGCGCTTCGGAGGACATGGACTCTTTATGGAGTGCGGGGGTAACCTCAGAGAAGTTCTTCTCCAGGAGTTCGTTGAGCACGACTGATCAAGCCATGATCGAGTCGGCCGGGCCGGTGGGAGGTATTGGTTCTGCTGAGGTCTTCCTGCAGAGGACGATGGCCATCATGGATCATTGGAAACACAAGTGGGCCAAGCAACAAGAGGACTTGGCGAAGCTGAAAGGGCAAGTCCAGCCCTTGAAGGAAGAAAATAGGGCATTGGTGGCTGCTCTCAGCGACGCCAAGATGCATAATGAGGCCGAGCTTCAGGCTACCAGGAAGGAGATGGAGAGAGTCCAGAAGTCCTTAGAGATTTCTTTGAGGTCCAATGAGACTTACGCTGCTCAGGTTTGTGAGTTGCAGGAACTCGCCAGCTCTTCCCGAGCTCAAGTGCGCGCCTTGGAGGACGAGGTCACCTCGCAGAAGGCTGAATTGGTGGTAGCGGCCGAGAAGCGTCTTTGCGACGAGGTCCTTCTTGGTGGGAAAGAAGAGGAGGTTGCCGCTTTGAAGGTGGACCTTGCGAAGCTGGAGGCGGTGAAGGCGGGGCTGGAGAAGAAGCTCGAGGAAACTGAGCGGGCTGTCGTGTTTGAGCACAAGAGGGGATTCCTCAAGGCAGCTCGCCAGGCGAGGCTACTCGCACCGGGGTTCGACCTCTCCGCCATGCATGTGGAGAAGGAGGTACGCTTTGGGAAGCTGGTAAAGAAGGACGACTTCGAGGACAACTCAAGTGACAACGCCTCCGCCTAGGCCGCTTTTGTAATATCTTAGTTTAGATTTCTTTTCTTTGAATTCGTGTATTGAACTCGTGAAATTGTTGTATATATATCCTCTTTTCGAGATTTCGATAGTTCTTCTATTTTTGAACATATGTGTTTTGCGCTTGTGCGTTTTGTGCTTTTCCGGGGCTCAAACTTGGCCTGATGTGAATAATTTGTCTTGAGGTTCAAACTCGACCTTTGGCTTAGAATGAAATAAATCGTACCAAGGCTCGGACTCGACCTCGGTGTAAAGTAAAATAAATTGTACTAAGGTTCGAACTCGACCTCGGCTTTAGAGTGAAATAGATCGTGTCAAGGTTCGAACTCGACCTAGGCTTAAAGTGGAATAGATCGTGCCAAGGTTCAAACTCGACCTCGGCTTAGAGTGGAATAAATCCTACTAAGGTACGAACTCGACCTCGATTTACTAAGGTTCGAACTCGACCTCGGATTAAGAGTGATATGGATTATATCAAGGTTCGAACTCAACCTTGAGTTTAAGCGAAACGTATTAAGGTTCGAACTCGACCTTGTCTAAGAGCAAGATACGTCGGCGTAAAGTGAAGTAAATCATGCTAAGGTTCGGATTCGACCTCGGATTTAGCATAAACCATCTTATGGTAAAATAATGCAAAATTAAGAAAATATTAATGAAAAGTAATGAGTTATTTTATTGATTGTATATATGTGCCTCGTTAAAAACCCTCTCAGCCAAAACCCATTTTTCTGTTTTTTGGGACAAAAAACTGAGGCGGGAAAAGAGTGCACAGCTCATTCTTACAAGTTCAGCTGAAATAGAATTTAAGATGTGCGGCGTTCCAAGTCCGCAGAATGACTTTGCAGCTGAGTTCTTCTAGCCTATATGCCCCATTTTCTAAGTCTTCTACAACTCGGAATGGGCCACCCCAGTTGGGTGCAAGCTTTCCATCTGATACG